ATTTTTTCTTAGTCTTTAGTTTTTTTTCATTCTTTTAACAGTGTCTTTCAAAGAGCCAAGGTGTAATTTTGGTTAAGTCCAATTTATCAATGTTTTGGTTTTTTTTTTTTTTTTTGGATTGTACTAAGATGGATAGATTTTAAAACAAATTTCTATAAAAGTAGTGAAAACTAACTTGGTGATACCAATGTTCTCGTAAAGTTGACTTTTGTGGAAGGTGCAGATGGTATCATTTCATGGAAAGGCAGTACCAATTAAAATACTCCTTAGTCTCAGGGACACACAGGACTTTTACTTCACCAAAGGAGATGATTGGCTTGGGTTTGTGAGGATTTTCACAGTTCCTTTTATTTTATCAAATGTTTATTTTTTGAGAGAGAGAGAGAGAGAGAGAGAGGGTGCAGGGGAGGGGCAGAGAGAGGGAGACCAGACTCTGCTCTGTCAGTGCAGAGCTGGATGCTGGGCTTGAACTCACGAACCAAATGGTGAGATCATGACCTGAGCCTTACAGACTAAGACACCAGGCACCCCTTTAAGATTTTATTTTTAAGTAATCTCTATACCCAGCATGTGGCTCGAACTTAACAACCCTGAGATCAAGAGTTGTATGATCTACTGACTGAGCCAGCCAGGCGCTCCTAGAATTATATATTTTTTAATAGGTAGAATAATCAAATATCATACTAAGCCATTTCTCTCTGATGCCCACTTCCTTCTTTATACTTTTATTAACAATCAATAACTGTTGCCAGTATTATTAATAATCATGTGTGTATATATTGTATTATAAAACGTTATAATGAACGTATAATGAAAAACATGAACGTTATCAGTTCAGTTTTTCACATCCTGTGAGGTACTCATTAGACATACATGTATATCAATCAATTAGCCCCAACTGCCTGAAATATCAACCTCAACTATGTTAGAAAGAAATTTCTTGGCTCACCTAACTGCAGAGTCCAGGCATAGTTAGCTGGAGTCAGGGCTCAAGTGATGTCATCAGGACTCAGTTTCTCCCCATGAAGCAACTCTGTTTTTTCCTGTGTAGACTTCAGTTGTAGGTACTGTATGTTAGAACTCCAGCATATTCAACCCCTGGAGCTTCTCACATTGTAGGTTTAGCAAGAAAGAACGCCTGTCTTTTTCCCAGAAGCCTCAGCAAAAGTCTCATGTCTCATTGGTTCTTATGGGGTCACATGTCTTATCTGAGCCAATCTTTGTGTTTGGGGCTCTGAGGTTTCACTTGGTCAGTTGTGGTCACGTGACAACCTTGGATTCCTTGGTGCAGTCAGTTCTTCAGGAACCATATCGACTGAGAGTAGGAATGAGGTGAATTCTAAAAGGGAAAATGTGGGCTTCTATTAGCAGGAAAAGGAATGGATCCTCGGTGGCCATTAGCCTCTTTTATAGGTCAGCAGCAGATTGCAGGATTGGGGTTTGAATCTTGGTTTCCGGTTCTAGCTTTCTTGCTTGTGAAGTTACACACTCCCAAGTCCATGTTCCCCACACGAGTAGGAGTTTGTAGAAAGTTACAGTGTTTTATATTCATTTTATGCAAGTTCGCTGTTTTTAACAGGAAGAGAAAGAATCAAGGCTGATGAGGGTAGATCTCACAATGGGCGGATGTGGTGCTTCTTCTATATTGATATGAGTCATGTGACTCATCTCCATTCCCTGGGCCTCCCTGTCCCCACAGGAGAGACTCTTATAAACCCAGCTGGCTCACTGTCTGCCCTTGGATCAGGCTCTTCGGGCCAGGCAGAAGGATTGTATGCTGTTGATGTAGCTGTGTTCTGTATCCTAGACAAGAGTGTCAGCCACACAGTGAGGTGTATCTCGGGGCTGGCCCCTTCCAGGAGGAGTAGTTCTAGATCTCTTACTGTGTATTTTCTATAGTCCATTTTAGCAAGGACCAAGACATTGTCTCACTTTGACCGGCAGCTTTTATTTTACCTGTGAGAAAGTTTTTTTTAACTTCTTCAGAAGGAGTACGTGTGGCTAGGTCATTCTGTCTTCTGCGAAAAACAGAGAAAATAGTTGAATAAGACCTGCTTCATACCGAGATCCACACTACAGCAAAGTACCCCTAGTGAGGTTCAGGTAGGATTTGGGTAGAAACTGACTATCAGGACCTGATTAACAAAGGTAATTGTGGTAGAAACCTTCTCATCCACTTCTGAGATAGGCACTTGAACCTAATGGATCAGGTATTAACTCCTCAAGTCATTTCCCCCCAGAGCTCCTGAAGTTAATAGTTCTGCCCCCAGTCTGCTTATATATTAAAGGTATTGAGAGAGCCCAGGGGCATATGTTGGCGGCTAATGTTGACAGGAGTCTTGTGATCTCCCTTTGTAGCCAGTTTTAGGGCTTATCTTGTCTGTCAGTGACACACAAATGTACCTATTTCTCCAGTGGCTCTTCTTGCATAATCATTATCAGTTTGAGGTGGATAAAATGGATGAAAATAATTCCTCTGTTAAGTAGCCAATTATATGGGGTGTTACTTTGTTTTCTGTAAATACAGTATTGTATTTTGAGATCAGTGAAGTGATTCCACTTTATGTAAACTGAAAAATTGGAATTTTAGGGGGGTAGCAGTAGCTAACACTAACTGAGCACTTACTGTGTGTTAGGCATCTTCTAAGTGTTCTACACATAGTATTTCACCTCACCCTATATTAACCGTAGGAGATGGACAGTAGGTGTCTTGCCATTTTTGAGCTGAGTAAGTTGGGTGGGATACAGAAGGTTAAGTCACTTGCCCCAGGCCATGCAGCTGGTACGCATCTGAGTGAAGGGGCTGGTGGGTGAGGGGGCTGGTGGGTTTTGAATACAAGTTGTCTGGCCCCGAGCCTGTGGTCTGGATCCCTGTACTGTATTTTGTCCTTAAGAAAGATTTTAGCTTGTGCGTTATTAGTTTTTCTTCTCTTTTGACTTTTTTTTTTCTTTTGACTTCTTTTGTAATATTATGTAGATGCGGGCTGAGAGTTTTACAGTAAAGATTTGTGAATTCTGGTGCCTTTGGTGACCATGGGTTTATCCTTCTACTGTTGCTGTTATCTGCAAGCCAACCCTAGATGCTTGTTGGTATCAGTAGTTGTCAATCAGGAATGACTTTACCCCCCAGGGGACCTTTGCTCCTGTCTGGAGATACTTTCAGTTGTCACAGGTTGGGAGGTCCCACTGGCATCTAGTGGGTTAGAGGCCAGAGATGCTGCTAAACGTCTTACAAAGCCCAGGACAGCCCTCCGTCAGCAAAGAACTGCTCGGACCAAAGTGTCAGTAGCATCATCTGAGCTCTCTGTAATAAGTTAGTGATTATCTTGTAATGCCATTTTCTTTTCTTTTCTTTTCTTTTCTTTTCTTTTCTTTTCTTTTCTTTTCTTTTCTTTTCTTTCTTTCAAGCAAGTCATTCACTTTGAAAGTTGTATTTATTCATTTTGAGAGTGTGAGTAGGGGAGGGGCAGGGGGAGAGGGGGAGGCAGAGAATCCTCAGCAGGCTGCCTGCTGTCAGCATGAGCCCAGTGCGAGGCTTGATCTCAGGAACTGTGAGATCACGCCCTGGGCTGAAATCCAGAGTCCGATGCTTAACCGACTGAGACGCTCAGGTGCCCCTGCAGTTTTTGACATACGAGTGTCTCTCAGTTGAAGGGGCCCAGACCTCTGCTGGTGGCTGTCATTGTGCCTGACTCACCGCCACTGTTTGGGTGCCTGCCCTCAGCTCTCACCGCAGCGCAAGGCAGAACCGCTGGGAGAGCGCGGGCCAGGGTGTCGTCAGAGTTGTCCCCCTCCCCCAGGGGGACGGACTGTGCACCTGTGGCCAGCCCGTCAGGGGGAAGGTAGGGAAGAGCAGGTGAGCGAGAGAGGTGGGAGCGGCCAGGAGCAGCGCTCTCCATGCTTGACATCTGGTGACAAGGTCAGCAAGGGTGCCCCTCTTACCGGGTGTTGTGATCTCAGGCGAAGGGCTTTAGGTCCTCCCTGCCCAGCGGCCGTGCTCTTGCTGTGAGCCATCCAGCTGGGGAGAGGCGGGCTTGCGTCCTCGGGAGCTCTTCCGCCTTCCTGATGGCGGTGCCTGCTTCCCACCAGTCCTTGCGGGACTTCTGTGGGAGGGCTTCCTTCCTTATGTAACAGCCCACCAGCCCCACTGCCTGTGGAATCAAGCCCTCACTGTGGCCCTTGAGGTCATTCGTAGCTCCTCCTCTTTCCCGACCCTCCTGGGGGGTAGGTCACATGGCTTTTCCTCTCGGTGGTTTCCTTTGAACTCTTGTCTCTGAAAAGCCCCTGTGTGCCCTCCGCTCATCCCTGTGTGCTGCTCTCCCCGTTCACCTGGAGGCCAGCTCTTGCCTTTTGGCGGATGGAGTAAGCCTTTCCTGTAATTGCTGCTCTTGCTAGAATCAGAGTTTTCTGGGAGCAGCTGTGCCGCACTCCCATCTTTGACTTCGGTGCTGCGAACATGGGGCCTGGCCTTAGGAAGCGTTTGCCAAATTGAATTAATAGGCAGTTCATACTTGCATTTCAGCCAGTTTTTTATGTTGGTGTGAAAAATCCTGCATGGCACAGATCTCCAGTCTCTGCGATCCCCGTCACAGAATTACAATACTGAGATGGGGAGGTTTGGGTATGAAACCTTTCTGTACCTTCTGGTTTAAAAAGAGAAAAAAAGGCAGCTTCATGGATTGTGACACTTTGCAGTATTCAAAGTCATGTTTCGTTTGTAAATTTGTCTCATTTATACATTTGGTGGGTTGTTTGTGTGATCTCCACTTACGGTTGACGTTTTGCTTGGATCTTAGTAAAGACTTCATAAAATATAGAAGAGAAGTATAGATTTTGTAGCATCAGATCTACACTGCTCCGCTATGACCTTGATCAGAAGGCTGGTTGAATGTAACTATTCAGGGAGATAATTAAACCAGCTGAGGTAGGAATGAGATTGGAATTGAAACCTAGTGAGATTCTAAAAGCTTCTCTGACCTGTCCTTTCTTTCTGTCTTTAGGATTTTTGTCCCTGAGTCATGGAAGACAGAAGAGCTGAGAAGTCATGTGAACAAGCGTGTGAATCACTTAAGAGGCAGGACTATGAAATGACCCTCAAGCACTGCACAGAGGCCCTCCTTTCTCTTGGCCAGTACTCCATGGCCGACTTCACAGGGCCATGTCCACTGGAGATAGAAAGCATCAAAATTGAGAGTCTTCTTTACAGAATCGCCTCGTTTTTGCAACTGGTGAGTAAGCACTGTTGATAAGCCAGTGTTGAACCATGAGACATGGACTTGTTCATTGAGTGGGGCAGATTGTTGGCCACAGTCCCCTTAGCCTGGGCTGACGTGGCTGGTGATGGCTGAGTGTGTTTGATTGCTGCATGGAGCTAGTGATTGCTGAACATGTTGGACGGCAACAACTATTTTTAAGCCTTTAGAGTTGTATTAGTGTATAGCATTTTGGGCTATTCATTCATTCAGCAAAGACTTACTGAGTGTATACTATGTACAGGGCACTGGACTAGGTACTTGGTAGGCATTGGTGAAAAAGAAAATGATCTTCATGGTATTTTTTCTAGTTAGGGGGACAGACGATGAACAATACATATTATACATTAAGTAGATACTGTAGAGTGTTAGAAGCTAGCAGTCTTCATGAAAAAAAGTCAGGGCAAGGGAGATTTGGGGATACAGGGTTAGGGTTGGGGTTATACTTTGAGTGGTCAACGTCGGCTTCACTGGTCAGGTGATAGGAGGGAGGTAAAGAAGGGAGCCACATCAAAATCTAGAGGAAGAGCACTACAGGCAGAGGAAACAGGGCAAAGACTCTGAGGCATAAGCCTGCCTGGCACATTTGAGAAACAGCTAGGAGGCCAGTGTGCTGGAGAAAAGTATGTGAGGGGGAGTGTGCAACGGGGCTAAATCCTGTGGGGCCTCCAGGTCCCTATAAGGACCTGATTTTCTTCTTAAGATGGGGAGCTCTTGTTAGGTTTTGAGCAGAGGAATGGCGTGATCTGATTTGGCCGCAATTCTTTGGCTTTTGTATTGAGGGTAGGCTATGGAGGGGTAAGTCAGCCAGGGGGACTAGTTCAGAGGCTGTTGGAATAATCCAGGCCAGAGATGAGAGTGACTCAGGCAAAATGGCGGCGGTGGAGAGACACAGCAGTGGATTGGTTCTGGTTCTAAGTTGAAGGTAGTAGACCTAGTCCGATTTCCTAACTCCTAACGTGGAGTTCCGGGAGCGAGAGAGAGAAAGCGGTCACAGATTCCTTACTTCGATGTTATTTTGTCTGAGCAGTTGGAACGTGGAGTTTCCTCAACTGAGATGACAAGGCTGTAGGTGGCGCACAGGTTTCGTGGGGCCCGGTGGGAGTTCAGTTTTGGACATGCGGAGTCTGAGATGTCATTTAGATACCCAGCTGGGGATGTTGAGGTAGCAGTCAGGTAGGGCAGCTGTGCGGTTTGGGAGAGAGGTCTGGGCCAGGGATACTGCCTCAGGAGTTGGTGGCCTGTAGATGATATATAAAGTCTTGAGGCTGGGTCAGATCACGAAGGGGATGGGTGTACGGGGAGAAGAGGAGAGGACCGAGGACTTAGTCTTGTGGCACTGCAGCGCGAAGACGTGGGGGACGAGGAACCAGCACAGCAGCCTGAAGAGCAACCCTCGATGTAAAGGAAAACTGAGGGGGGGCCGTGTCCCCGTAGCCAAGTAGGGAAGGTGGATCCCAGTGAGGGAGGGGCGAGCAGGGGCGACTGCTGGGAGTGGAGCAGTGGGAACGGAGAGGCGACGGAGATGTGGCGGGCCACCCGGACGGGAACGAGTAAACGTAGACCGCGTGTCCAGCTGGGTGCAGGGAGGTGGCCGGCGAGCTGCACGACCGCGGCTCCCGTGGAGTGCCGACTGAAGGGAGTTTGAGAGCGAGTCCCGGGAAGGAGTTGAAGCACCTGAGTGTAGACAGTTCCTGAGGGGTTTTGTCCGAAAGAGGCGTAGAAAAGTGTGAGTGAGTGGCAGCTGGTGGGAGAAGTGAAGTCACGAGAAGGATTTTTTTAAGATGGATGAAATCGCAGCGTGTTTGTTCAAAGGACCGAATCGGTGGAGAGCAACAGGTCAGTGGTGTAGGAGGAATAGAGGGGGCTTCCCGGAGCGGGCCCCCGCGGGTGGCACAGCCGGCCTCAGAGGGGGGCCTGGAGGGCTGGCCTCGTAACAGGCGGAAGGCAGAGAGTGCGCGGAAAGCGGCCGACGTGGGGGGACAGTCCTTGGAAAGTCTCTTCTTGGCGCTTTGTTTTCTGAGTGAAGTCGTTGGCCGAGGGTGATCCTGAGGGAGGAGGCTTTGGTGATGCGGAGCCGGGGAAGGTGAGGAGGAGGAGAGTGAGTAATGGCCGGGGAAGAATGTTATCATGTCTGTGGACTACATGAGTTACTTTTACTCTGTGAATATTACATCTGAAACATGAATAATGAAACTTTGAAACAAAGCTGAGGTGTTTTTTTTTTCTTTTAATAAAAATCGCTGTTTTAAGCTGCCCTTGAACTACTTAATTTTACCTTGTATCTTTTATTTTGCAGAAAAACTATGGGCAAGCTGATGAAGATTGTAGGCATGGTATGTTTAAGAACCGGACCGTTTTCTGCTTTGAACATTTTGAGTTATTTAAATTGAGCAGTGTTTAAGATTTGACTTTCTAATATGCTAATTTCAAGAGAGAGTATAACGTTTGAAAACCCCTCCTTACTGCGGTTACTAGTAACTGATCTGGATGACGACTTTGCCGCTGTGACGCGTGTACAGCTGAACATTGCTCGTCGCCGTGAGTGGGAACACTGATAGTGCCCTTTTAGAGTTTGTGTGAGTATTTTTAGGCAGTAGGAGCTGAGGTTTAAGACCTGTAACACACATTGAGTAAGATGTTAAGCTTGGATAAATTGAAAGGCTTGTCTGTCCATCCCAAAATGTTTTTTTCCTTTCCGTAGGTTTCCCTTAGAGAAGAGAGACCGATTAGCATGCTCTTTAGTGCTTTTTTCTGTTTTCTTTGGGTGAGAAATTACTTAAAAAGATTTTTACTCTCCGGGCACTCATAGAATAGGGATCCTTTTCTTCATGATTACTGCCAGGTCACTGGAATGAATCTAGGAGTCAGTGGGAAAAGGGGTTCAGTGTGTGGTGGGAAGTTTTGCACAGCTGTGATTTGAATAATATAATGTTTCATTTATCCGTAATTTGGGGGAGGGGTGCTGCAGTGTCAAACAGAAGTTGATTTTTTAAATTACTCCTTTGTATCAAAGCTTTTAAGAGTATTAACTGCTTTTGTTGTAAACGTCAAAAAACTCTCTGGCACACTCCTGTGGCATATTGGACATAATTTAACCATTCATTGAAGAAGGTGAACCTCCTGTAACAGAATCTTTACTGTCTCTGGACATTTAAAATTACCCACAACAACAACAAAAATCAAATTACCAGCAAGCCAAATAATAGTAAGTCAAATAACAGAGAGGAATATGAAGAAGGGAATCATTTCCCCCCCCCCTTTTTTTTTAAATGTTTTTTATTTATTTCTGAGAGAGAGAGAGAGTGAGAGCATGAGCAAGGGAGGTTCAGAGAGAGAGGGAGACACAGAATCCGAAACAGGCTCCAGGCTCTGAGCTAGCTGTTAGCACAGAGCCCTACGTGGGGCTCAAACCCACAACTGTAAGATCATGACCTGAGCCGAAGTCGGATGCTCAACCGACTGAGCCACCCAGGCGCCCCAATCATTTCCCCTTTTTATCCCATCTGAAGAAATCGTAATTACTTTGCTGTATCTTTGGTACCTTTCTCTATAGTGATAAACACAAATGCTTATCATATATAAATAGGGGTTTTCCTTTAAAAATTAAAACAAATTCATTTTACGTACCAACAGATCATAGATCTTTTCTAAAAATTTCGATTAACAAAAATTTTTTTAGGTTTATTTATTTATTTTGAGAGAGACAGAGCAGGCGGGGAAGGGGCAAAGAGAGAGAAGTGAGAGAATCCCCAGCAGGGTCTGCACTGTCAGCGCAGAGCCTGATGCAGGGCTTGAACTCATGAACCATGAGATCATGACCTGAGCGAAGATCAAGAGTCGGATGCTGGACCCACGGAGCCACCTGGGTGCCTATCATGGATATCTTTCTAAGTTTCACCAGTTCCAATTACTGCTTAATATTCCATAAATGTTTCATACTTCCTCAAAAATTCTCATATTGGTAGGCATTCAAGTGTTTCTTGTGTTCTAGTTTGTCATTATAATCCTTCCTGTAATAAAAATATATTCTTTCTTAGTGTTACTTGTTTCTGTAGGATCGTCTTAAAAGCTGGATATCTGGGTGAAGGAGTTTTAAAAGTTGGATATGTGGGTTAAAATTATATGCTTACAGTTTTAACAGACACCGTCAGGTGAGTTTCAGATGCACACCGCCACCAGCGGTGCATGCGTGTGGCTGTGCCCTGTAATCTCACGAACACTGGAACCTGCCAGTCTTGATATTTTGCCAGTCTGATGTGTGAGAAATGGATACCCCTTCTTTAATTTTTGCTCCCTTGGGGATTAGTGAGGTGGAGTGCAGTCTTCTCATTTTGGAGCCGTACAAAATCCCAGAAGGTTGTTAAATGGTTTGTGAGAAGTCACCAGAGAGTAAATGCTTATTAGTGAAGAGCACCCGGGAAATGTTGCATTTTTCCATTGTTACATTTAGCATTTCTTTTATTTAATGTTTGTTTAATTTTTTAGAGAGAGAAAGAGAGAGAGCGAGAGTGAGCATGTGCAGGAGAGGGTCAGAGAGAGAGAGGGAGATCCAGAGTCCGAAGCAGGCTCCAGGCTCCCAGCTGTCAGCAGAGAGCCTGACGTGGGGCTTGAACTCACAAACCATGAGATAACCTGAGCTGAAGTCAGATGCTTAACTGAGCCACCCAGATGCTCCTTCATTTAGCATATTTAAAGTTAGATACTACTTTACAGCTTCTGAATTAATAAAATAAATGTTTAACCAGTTATCTTTTGGAGGTGACAGACATGTTTATTACCTGTATTGTGATGATAGGAACATGAGTGTGTATGTATGTACAGACTCACCAGGTTGTATACATTAATTATATGCAGGTTTTGTATACCAATTATATCTCCGTGATGCTGGGGAGAAAAAGCTTAATCAAGGTCTAGGATGAAGTAATGAAATAAGTATACTCTTATGTTGGTGGAGTGTGAAGAGGAATGCAACTTGGTAATATGTTTATACCCTTCGACCCACTAATCTCATTTCTGGGATGCTATCCCAAGGAAATAAACCAAAAGAAAGAAGGAATTATATGTGGAATGGTGTTCATTGCAGTACGGTGTGTAAAAGTGAAAAATCAGTTAGCTTCCAGTAATGGAGGAGTTCTTTTAAAGAAATTCTATGCATTCCTTGTTACCATCTGTGTGATACGGAAGCACATGGAAAGTTCTTGCTAAAATGCCAGAGCAGTGTATATAAAGTTTGTTCACTTGACATAGACATTCAGGAATATTAGCCAGGTTTATATGTGTGTGTTGCTAGGTGTAGAGTCTTGCTATTAGATGAATTTTTTTTCTTTTTCAACTTTTGGTAACATCATGTGAAGTAAAATACCGTGGTTAGGCAGTGAGTTAGTAATAAAAAGTCAAGAATCTCAGTCTGTTAATTATTATACTGCTTTGCAATGCCGGAGAACTGTGGAATGGTTTGTATTCTGCTGGCCCAACCTTTCGTTGGCCTTTTATATACTGTACTTTTTCTTAAGTTTATCTATATATTTTGAGAGAGCATGAGCAGAGGAGGGGCAGGGAGAGAGGATCCCAAGCGACAGTGTGGAGCCCGGTGTGGGACTCAGTCCCACGAACTGGGAGATCTTGACCTGAGCTGAAATCAAGAGTCAGATGCCTACCCGACAGAGCTGTGTTGTTTTGACATCTGTTCCCTTTCTGTGAGGCTGTCAGTTTGCATTCCTTGCAACTCTCAACAAGCCCCATCTTAACTACCTTCCCCTTTTCCATTTGCCACTTCTGACCTTCTGATTTCACTTTCTCAGACTGGGTTAGGAAATCAGGCGGGCAGTCTTTGTTACAGAATTAAAAAGCATTAAAATTTGCTTTCAATTCTGAAGAAATTAAAATACATAGGAAAATAGAAGAAAGAGTTTAATAAACATTCATATTCTCAGAACTTAGATTGTAACATTTGACCATATTAACTTTTTTCTGAAATATTTAAACACAATGATAGACACCATGGTATTTAAATAAGGCCATAAATGCATAACCACAGTATTGTTAATATTATTAACAAATAAAATGGGCAGTGATTCCCCATGGTTTTGTGAGGGTGAGCCCCGCTTTGGGCTCTGTGCTAGCAGCACAGATTCTCTGTCTCCCTCCCTCTCTCTCTGCCCCTCGCCTCATGCTGTCTCTGTCTGTCTCAAAATAAATAAATAAACTTAAAAAAATTGACAGAAATTCCCTCATATTACCAAAAACCCACTCTCTAATCAAGTCTACTTGGTCATCCCTAAAATAGTTTTTATGACTGATATTTTCTAAGCTAGGAACTCAGTTAGAATCATAATTTTTTGTTAAGTTTATTTATTTTGAGAGACAGCATAAGCACATCCAAGGGGGGGGGGGTATAGAGGGAGAGAGGATCCCAAGCAGGCTTTGCGCTGTCAGCGCAGAGGCTAACTTGGGGCTTGATCTCATGAACCCTGAGATCATGACCTGAGCTGAAATCAAGAGTGGGGTGCTTAGCTAACTGAGGCACCCAGGTGCCCCGCCTTTTATTTTTGTTGGTGATTTCCTTTGCTGTGCAAGAGCTTTATATTTTGGTTTAGTCCCAATAGTTTACTCTTGCTTTTGTTTCCCTTGCCTGAGACGTATCTAGAACAATGTTGCTAAGGCCAATGTCAAAGAATTACTGCCTATGTTTTCTTCCAACAGTTTTATGGTTTCACTTCTTATGTTTAGGTTTTAATCCGTTTTGAATTTGTTTTTGTTGTATGGTATGAGAAAGTGATCCAGTTTCATTCTTTTGCATATAGCTGTCCAGTTTTACCAATACCATTTATTTAATTTTATTTTTTGATCAATTATTTTAAAACTGTTTTTATTATTTTTAAAAATTTTTAATGTTTTATTTATTTCTGAGAGAGACAGTGTGTGAGCAGGGGAGGGTCAGAGAGAGAGACGTGGAATCTTAAGCAGGCTCAAGGCTCTGAGCTACCTGTCAGCACAGAGCCTGACACGGGGCTCGAACCCACGAACCGTGAGATCATGACCTGAGGTGAAGTTGGACGCTTAACCAACTGAGCTACCCAGGCTCCCCTGTTTTTATTTTATTTTTGAGATAGAGAGACAGAGCATGAGCAGGACAGTGGCAGAGAGAGAGGGAGACACAGAATCTGAAGCAGGCTCTAGGCTCTGATCTGTTGCCCCAGAGCCTGATGTGAGGCTCGAACTCACAGACCGTGAGATCGTGACCTGAGTTCAACTCAGACGCTTAACTGACTGAGCCACTCAGGTGCCCCTTCCCAGTACCATTTATTGAAGAGACTGTTTTCCCTATTGTGTATTCTTGCCTCATTTGTTATACATTGAAAATTTTGGAAAAATACCTTGATTAGGTTTAGCTTTTCAAGAAAAGATTTAATTAATTAATTAATGTTTATTTTTAAGAGAGTGTGAGTGATGGACTGGCAGAGAGGGAGACAGAGGATCCAAAGTGGGCTCTGTGCTGACAGTAGTGAGCCCACTGTGGGGCTTGAACTCACGAACCGTGAGATCACGACCTGAGCCAAAGTCAGACACTCAACTGATCGAGCCACCCAAAGATCTTAGAAATAACTAAGGACTTGGGTTACCTGGGTGGCTTAGTCGGTTGAGCGTCCGACTTTCGCTTGGGTCATGATCTCGCGGTTCGTGGGTTCGAGCCCCACGTTGGGCTCTGTGCTGACTGCCAGCTCAGAGCCTGGAGCCTATTTCAGAGTCTGTGACTCCCTCTCTCTCTCTGACCCTCCCCTGCTCACGCTGTCTCTCTCTCTCTCCTAGAAATAAATAAAAAAACATTTAAAAAAAAAAAAAGAAATAACTAAGGACTTGATGAGACAAATAACCTAATACGGTGATGTGACTGAAAAAATACAGAATCATACTCAATGTTTACTGTACTTAGACTTATTTTAAGTCAGCTTTCTCATTGCATGTAATTTAAGGAAGAGGAATTACATTTTAATTGTTGATTGTCTCCTTTTGATAGCCAGAGGTGATCAGACCCCAAGAGAGACTTTTTGGTTGAAACAATTGAATGAATATTCTTTTAATATTACTCAGTTTCTGTCTAAAACATTTCAAGGAATGCATATTACGGAAACTGAAGATAGAAGGAGTAGAGACCTGAATATAGCAGCAGAGGTAAGGCATTCAGGTCTCCTCCTTGGTAACTCGGGAGAAAGAAAGGGGCAGTTCGGTTTGGGAATAGTTGTGTGCTTATAGTAAACTCTTGCAAATAGTGGTGGGAAGAGAATTTTTCTGCAAGGCATTGTAACATTTTTACAGTTACTCAAGATTAGATTACATTTTTAAAAAATGAAGTTTACTTAAAATTTTTTTTAATGTTTTTGTACTTTTGAGAGAGAAAGTGCAAGTGGGGAAGGGGCAGGGAGAGAGAGTTGGGGCAGAGGATCTGAAGCGGGTGACAGCGGTGAGCCCGATGTGGGGGTGGGGCTTGAGCTCACAAACTGTGAGGCCGTGAGCTGAAGTTAGACACTCAACCGACTGAGCCGCCCAGGCGCCCCAGATTACATTTTTAATGTCCTCCCTTTTGGCAAATTCAATCATTATAGCTAAGGCAAGTTTAATAATACACGGGGCTATATTTTGTTTTCCTTCAAGCTTTTTCAAGATATTACAGATAATAAGGGACCAGGATGGCAGTATTGCAATTTTAATTTCGCTATAGGATACAAGAGCAGGAGAGGTTTTTTATCTATAATTGTTGACTTTTTTTGTGGCAGTTCTTCATATGGGATCCTACAAGATAAACCGAATTGCAGCTTAGGGCAACAGTTGGAAAAAAGTACATTAGTACTGATTCTTGTCAAAAAAAGAAAAAAGGGAGAAAAAGAAAAAACGAAACATAATTTTGACAAATCTTGAGGCCTTCAAACATCAGTGTAATGCAAGAGCTTTTGCACAGTAAAATTCAGCAAATACTTTGTACAAAACTAAATATCTAGAAAAGGCTTTGTAACATATATGACTTAATACTCTTTAAACAAGACATAATCACCTGAGGTTGAAATATTTTTAGATATTTTTCCTTTCCCTGAGACATTCTTTAGCTTTTGACAGCTAGTTTTGTAATACCCGATTACTGAGAAGGAACTAGGATATTTCCTTGGCAGTTCTCAGTACCACCACTTTATACTTTTTAGAAGGGGAAGGTAACATCTAGGGGACTCTTAGGAGGAGACTATGCTAGTCTCCTACTTGACATAATTAACACAATCTTTACTGTAACCTTATTAGGTAGCTCCTGTCACCTTCATTTTACAGGGTAGGAACTTTGTTGTGAAGGTGAATAGTCCAGCCCTTAGTAGGACTCTTATTTTTTTCTTCAGAGCATTTTATTTGCAGTATATTATTTGATCCTTACAACAAACTTACACATGTTTCTATTTTACAGATGACCACACTGAGGGCCAGAGAGCTAAAGTGCCTTGCCAATGGTCCTATTTTATATATATATCTAATTTATTGTCAAATTGGCTTACATACAACCCAGTTGCTCATCCCAAGAAGTGACCTCCTCAGTGCCCATCACCCATTTTCTGTGTCCGCCAACCCCCTGTCCACCCTCAGCTTGTTCTCTGTATTTAAGTTTTTTTTTTTTTTTTTTTTAAATTTCTGAAAGAGAGAGAGACAGCGTGAGCAAGGGAGGGTCAGAGAGAGAGGGAGACACAGAATCCGAAGCAGGCTCCAGGCTCTGAGCCAGCCATCAGCACAGAGCCCGATGCAGGGCTCGAACCCACGAACCGTGAGATCATGACCTGAGCCGAAGTCGGATGCTTAACTGACTGAGCCACCCAGGCGCCCCTGTTCTCTGTATTTAAGAGTCTCTTGTGGTTTGCCTCCCTCCCTACCAATGGTCCTTTTTGAATAGTTTTAGGAATAGTAGGAGCTGTGGGAGATGTGGGCTTACTGGGGAATTTTATAAGATGTTCAAGACATTCTTAATGATATTCTGTTGGAGTTAATCACTTACTGGAATTATCCAAGGACAGTTGAGTAGACCTGTAACATGGATAGTATGAGACAACAGGTTGGCCTGCATTAAAAGTAATTGAGTGATACCTTGAATACAGAGAGACTGCAACTTTCAGCCTAGTAATCTGCTTTAATAAAAGATAGAGACATAAGAATGTTTGTTATCATGTTAGTTTCAATAGTTAAAAATTGTAATTGTTCTGGGGCCAGGGAGTAGTGAAGTCGTTGGTCTGTCTACTTGTTGGAACGCTATATAGACAGTAATATGGTAAACAAACCCTCAGAACATGCAAGATCTTGAATGTGTGAAGGGGAAATAAAGCAGAATACAAACTGTTATATTCATATCAGTTATAATCATGGAACAGTTACGTAAATATTGATAAAAATTGGAAGAGAACATGAATAAGTGAACACAGTCTGTTTAGTTGAGTGATGAATCTATGGGGAATTATTCTGTAGAATTTTATTAGTGTTGTTATAATGTTATTTGTGTAATGGAAAAATTGAACAATATAGCTGAAGGATATGTTCAGTACAACCAGAACAAAAACATCATGAACAGACCCTATATACCTTAAATACGTAGTACATTATACTGATACTTAAACATTTCCTTGGAAATAGAAAAAAATGCAGTTTCCAAAATATTTTACTTCAGCAAATGATTTTCTTGCAAAGGAAGCTAAAGTGTGTGCAAACTAAAAATAGAGTCTTGGACTTAGCAGTGAAGAGAAAGACACAGATTGTTTTACTCGTTGAGCCGTTACAGTTGCTGTTGAGAAATCATCTCAGATGACATGACATAAAAATGAGTATATTCTATATTGTTACACATATGTGCTCTTGTGATTGTATTAAATCTGTAAACACTTGCACACAGTTTGATTAGTATTTTCTATGGCCACGTGACATTTGGGTTCTTAGTTAATCTTGCTGGTTTTGATAAAAGCTAACTCTTAACTGCTCAGAATACCACATGTTGAGATGTGTAGTTTCTATTCTTACACATTTTAAGTTCACTGAGTCTTGTGTCACTGTTGACAATGTGGACATTTTATTCAGAGAATGTTTCTGCCATTTAATAGCCCTCATTTATCCAGGAATCATAGGTTGTACCATAGTTTTCACTGAAGAGAGAGCTTTAGAGTTAATTCTTCTTGTGATTTTTGTGTGATCCAACTGGCTATAGGCTAGAGTGAGTTAGATATGTGGAGTGTCCTATGTTTTCTTTTTTTCCCCCCAAATATTTATTTATTTATTTTTAGAGCAAATGAGCAGAGGAGGGGCAGAGAGAGAGAGGGAGAGAGAATCTCAGGCAGGCTCCGCAGTGTCAGCTCAGAGCCTAAATGTGGGCCTTGATCCCATGAACTGTGAGATCATGACTTGAGCCACAATCAAGTTGGATGCCTGACTGAGCCTCCCAGGTTCCTTCCTATATTTTTGTCTTTATGCATATCTTGGACAGAACAGAAATATCACTGCTTTCCTCTAGTACTTGAAGGTTTTTTTTTTTTTTTAAGTTTTTATTTATTTTGAAAGAGAGAAAGGGAAGGGGTAGAGAGAAAAGGAGAGAGGATCCTAAGCAGGCTCTGTGCTCTCAGCACAAATCCCAATGCAGGGCTCAGACCCACGAACTACAAGATCATGACCCGAGCTGAAGTCAAGTGTTGGACGCTTAACCGACTGAGCCACCCAGGCACCCCTTGAAGTCGTTCTTTTAGCATATAAGACGTCATCCTTGTGATAGTGTACTGACGTTGTTATCAAGAAAACATGGGCATCAAATGTTACATGGTTAATGCTGGCTGTTTCTTCCTGACAGTGCTGGGGGAAGGCCTGGCCAAGGGAGATGGTGCCTTCCAGGCAGTGCTTTGCTGCATGCAGCTGAAGGGAAAGCTCCAGCCCGTATCCAGCATTCTCGCCAAGTCACTGACGGGAGAGTCCCTGGTACGTTGATGAACTCCGATCCTGAATGTCCAAAATGGCTCCATTCACTTAAGTCCTCAGGCGTGTGGTGGGAAATAGCAATTCAGTTTGTGCTTTTCCTCTTATTTCCTCCTATCAGAAATCAAAGTTTCTGTTCAACAAACTGATGCTTAATCTTCGTATTTTTGTAGCAGTTTGTGATACTATATATGAGAATTACAGGTACTTTTAAAAACTTTGAAAATTTAAGATAACTAAGTGTTTCTTTTAAGATTTTTTTTTTATTTTTAAAGACAGTTTTTTTTTTAAATGTGTATTTATTTTTGAGAGAGAGAGAGAGAGAGCGAGCAAGTGAGCGAGTGAGCATGCGCAGAGGTGGGCAGAGGAGAAGAATCCTAAGCAGGCTCCAGGCTCAGAGTCATCAGCACAGAGCCTGATACCGGACTCGAACTCATGAGCCATGAGATCATGACCTGAGCTGATGTCGGATACTTAACCGACAGAGCCACCTAGATGCTCCAAAGATTTTTTTATTTTTATTTTTAAGTAATTTCTACATCCAGCGTTGGGCTCCAGCTCACAACCTCAAGATCAAAAGTCACATGCTCCGTCGAGTGAGCCAGCCAGATGCCCCTAGATAATTTTCTTTAGAGATGTGATTTAATAGAACCTGGGAATATTTTAGGGATGGATTTATTTTTTTAAGTAAGCTCTAGGCTCAATGTGGGGCTTTATTTCACCACTCTGAGATCAAGAATCATTTGCTCTATGGATTGAGCCAGCCAGGCTCACCCCTTATTTTGGGGTTTTAAAATGCTTCTGTGGACATGTGATTATATAGGGTTCTTAAACCCAATTATTTATTTTATAAAATGTTTAAATTTATCTAAAGTAATAATTCTGTTTCTGAAGATGTTCGTGTGTGAGTTAATATTCCACTCTTATCACTCTGATGGAAAGATCTGATTCCATTCAGACTTTGGGATACATTTTATTTTTAAGTTTATTTATTTTGAAAGAGAGAGCTCGTGCATGAGCAGGGCAGGGGCAGAGAGAGGGGGAAGGAGAGAATCCCAGGCTCCGAGCTCTCAGAGACGGTGAGATCATCACCTGAGCCAAAATCGAGTCCAATGCTTAACAAAGGGAGCCACCCAGCCCTCCAGGATAAAATTGTTCATGTAGCATTTTCTAGAGTTTTTGTTTGGTTTTAGGTGAGATAATTGAAAGACAACATTTTGGAACTTTAGCATTGCCAGTATATAGAAATTGGAAGAAAAATATTTTAAGACTTTTTTTCCTTATTTGGTTACTGTTACAAAATTTGTGGATATTTCTGAGAAATCTGTGCAAAACAGTGAAAGCCGGCATGAATTTTCTGTACCTCATTTAGTCTCCTGAATCGATACATATTGTGAAAATCTGAGGCGACGTTGTGTTTTCACTGCAGATAAATATATTTGGTTGGGAAAAAGAAGAAATTAGGAAAGTACTTGTTATACTGCAGAATATAACGTAATGACCCATCTCAGGAGGTAATTGAGTTACTTTCTGAGGGATTACTGTGTAGTGAATTGTTTAATTGGTTTAACATTGGTTTTTGATTTCACCAAATTTATAAGTGGACATAAAACTAAACTGTATTACTAATCCAGCAAAATTCTATAGGTATTTAGTTCTAAATAGATGATGAGGAATATATCTCTTCTTTATTATTAAGGTAATTCTGTCCTTTTAATTTTATTGTTTATTTATTTATTGTTTATTTTTAAATTTTTTAAATTTACATCCAAGTTAGCATGTAGTGCAACAATGATTTCAGGAGTAGATTCCTTAATGCCCCTTATCCATTTAGCCCCTCCCCCCTCCCACAGCCCCTCCAGCAACCCCTCTGTTTGTTCTCCATATTTAAGAGTCTCTTACGTTTTGTCCCCTCCCTGTTTTTATATTCTTTTTGCTTCCTATCCCTTATATGTTCATCTAAGGTAATTCTGTTCTTAAGGAAGTTTTCTTTATAAGTTAAGCATATTACACAGTTTTACCTGTGAGTTTTTAAATTTAAAACTAGGAAGAAGTACTTGCTTTTATATCTAAGTGAAATTTGAACTTCAGAAGAGTGACTGTTTTGCCTGTTTTCCTTCAACTGGTTTATTAATGAGCTATTTTTAAAATGCTGTAATCGTTTTATGTGAATCTGAGTCATGGGTAACTGATCGAGTTCACCATTTTGTCAATACGAGTCCATTAGTTTTAGGGGAGAAAAAAGCTAAAACATCGTTTAGGTTTATTTTTCTCTTTGCCCATGGAATCTTGCTTTCCTGTGATATCCATTGTGAATACTTTGTTGAATTGATTTTAAACTCTCATACAAGGTGAATACAGGGTTTTAGGCCACACTGTATATTTTGTCCTGTTAACTTTTTGAACCTTCCTTACAGATGGTTAGCTTTATTATTATAACTAATGGTAGTGGGTTGAGAGATGAGGATAATATTGTCTTTTTACAGATAAACCTTAGATACAGTGGAGGAATTGAGTTATGCCCCCATAGCAAAGAAATAATAAACTAACTGGGTTTTGCATTTTTCATTCACCTTTTTCAGAATGGGATGGTAACAAAAGATTTGACAAGACTAAAAACACTTCTCACAGAAACAGAGGTAAGACTATTACATGGATCTCTTTGAGAAGAGCTTAACTCAGTCTGGCTAGTAAGTGTTCTCTGTTAACATTGGAAAATCGCTGGGCATCAGCCAGGGACAAGGCTGCAGGTGGGGTAGTGGATCCTCTCGGCCTTCTTCTGTAGCCCGGCTCAGCCACACCCCCAGGCCCTGCTCCTTGCGGCTCCTCGGCACCTCAGGTCTTCAGTTCCTCCTTCTCGTTAGTGGTCTCTGGCCAACCAACAGAAAGATGGCTGGGAAGTTTTAATGTTTAAACACATGCCAAGAGTTGGATGCTTAACCAACTGAGCCACCCAGGCGCCCCTCAAGGCTTTTTCTTTTGAAGCAACTAAAGAAGTCTGTGATTTAAGGACTATTTTTAGGAAATGGAATTTAGGAGATGGAAATAATGTCTATCAGGGTAAATGGTGAACAAAAATATGCTCTGGTGAAGCACTTGAAGGACGGTGAAAGGTCAGGGGACAGCAGGGGCATCTGTTAGGCCCCCAGCTTTGTATGTCTCAGATTTCTATTCCTAATCTAGGCATATAAAAGTATTTTTATTTAAATGTCTCATTTGGCTTTTCATTATTTTTAAAATGTTTATTTAAAAACAAACAGGCAATGGTCAGAGAGAGAGAGGGAGACAGAAGATCCGAAGCGGGCTCTGTGCTGACAGCAGCGAGCCCGACGCGGGGCTTGAACTCATGAACTGTGAGATCATGACCTGTGCCGAAGTCGGACAGTCAACTGACTGAGCCACCCTGGCTCCCCTTAGATGTCTCATTTTAAAAACAGCTATTTTTGCCAGCTTTTCTCTTAAATGGAAGCCATGTAAAGTGATTGATTGGCTCAAAATCGGCATGTGCTGTGTGTGAGGTTCTTTGCTTGGTGCCAGGAGTACAGCACTGGCCAGGACACCTGTGGTCTGGGAGGTTCAAGTCTAGGGGAGGAGAGAGATCAAATAAATTAATTAAATAGCTCTAGGTATAATTCACATTGAGGAAAGTGGTATGAGGGGAAAAAAAAATAAGCTTTCTGTCATGGAAAAATAACTGGATTAGGTGATCAGAGGGGTGAGACAGCTGAGCCAGGAGCTGAGGATTGAGAAGGTGCCAATGTCATGGAGATTGAGATGAGGGCGCTCCAGACAGTTGGAAGGAGGAGCAGAAGCGCAGATGTAAACCTTGACCTCCTGTAGATTACCTTCCCGTTCCAAATCTAGTAACATATCTCACATACCAACAAATAAGGGAAGACCGTCATCATGAATGACCTCCTAAGCTGGATAAAGATACTGCTTGTTTCGCTACAATTAGATAGGCTTTAAAGAAAATGTTATTTTCTTTGTCTTATTGTGAATTAACTGAGAAGCATTGAGCTCTAATTAACTTAAAAGCCATTTCCTTTCTTGCGTATATGTAGTCTTTTTAATTTCTAAGGATAAAGGAAGACAGTTATAAATGTTTGAGACTTTTAACATGAGAATGTAAAATAAGATGACATTTCATTTTATTAAGAGTTTTGGCTTTCTTCTTTTTTATTGCCTTAATTGAATTACTAGCTTTATACCTGATATTCATGCACAGAGACAGATATGTTATGTATTTATATATGAATTTTTATTTCTAATATTTATAATCATGTCACAAGGCCACAAATATCACTTGAGTCTTGTTTTGTGACTGTACTTTTGGAAGAAGTGACCTAAGTTTTGTTTATAATCAACTTTGCTATGTAACCAAAGTAGTATTCTTTTTGGCTAATGAACTGATATTATTTAAAAAAAATCCATCTAGGAAAAGCAAACAAAGGTCCCATTATTTATGATTCCACATGACTTATTTAAAAATAGAAACAATTTGTTATTTAAAGATTGGGCTTAGCTGGTATTTACCTTGAAGTGCTGTAAAGACATGGAACTCAAGACTGACTAAAGGAAACAAAAACAATATGTATCTAGTAGGATTTTAAATGTCAAAAATCAATAGGTTTGATTGTAAATTTATAGAAGTTGTAGCAATATGAAATTTGACTGCTTTCTCTGGAGATGTCAGTATAAACTGAAGATCATAAGCTAATTGATAATTGGCCTTCTGCCTTGAGATCTGAGCAAATAAAAAGGTGTTTACAAAAAAAACCCCAAAAACCCCAAATCCTGGGGCGCCTGGGTGGCTCTGGCTCTTGGGTGTCCAGCTCTTGATTTTGGCTCAGGTCATGTTCCCAGGGTTGTGAGATTGAGCTCCGTGTTGAACTCTGTGCAGAGCATGGAGCCTGTTTAGGATATTCTCTCTCTCACTCTCTCTCCCTCCCCCCCTCCCTCCCTTCCTTCCTTCCTTCCTCCCTCCCTCCCTCCCTCCCTCCCCCTCTCCCCTTCCTCTCTTGCTCCGTCCCCCCCCGCCCCCCCTCGTCTCTTTCCCTCTAAAATAATAAAAGGAAAAGAAAGTAAAAACACCCAACCCAAACACAACACACTGGCACCTGAAAGCTATGGTGGCCATAGACTCAGCCCAGGCCAAGCTTCTCATCCTCACCAAGTGTTCTGGTGCAGATGTGCCTTCACCAGCCCCTGCTCGCCTGAGAGCTGGGGTGTCGGCACAGGTACACCCGCTCTTTTGTGTATCATTGTGGATGCCGACTCCTGAAACACACCATATATTTTCCCTTCTAACACTTACAGATGCTTTCAGCTTTATTATAGGACTAAAATATTTTATTCCCATTTTTCCCTTGCATATCTGGTAAATTTTATTTTGATAAATACTTTAGAGGGGATACTTTAAATATATGAAGTGAATTTTTAGGAAATTATAAATTTATAAATTTATAAAAATTTAAATTATAAAATTATAAATTTGAGGTAGATGAAAATCACATTTTATTTTATTATTATTTTTTTTTTTAAATTTTTTTTTTAATGTTTTATTTATTTCTAGGAGAGAGAGAGACAGCGTGAGCAGGGGAGGGTCAGAGAGAGAGAGGGAGTGACAGACTGAAACAGGCTCCAGGCTCTGAGCTGGCAGTCAGCACAGAGCCCGACGCGGGGCTCGAACCCACAAACCGCGAGATCATGACCTAAGCGAAAGTCGGACGCTTAACCGACTAAGCCACCCAGGCGCCCCGAAAATCACATTTTAAAAGCTAGTGTGGGATTATGGCACTTAGACCTGGATTGTAGAATTTAAACAGATCTTTTAATGTATCTTCTTTGTGAGCAGAGAATCCTTGTAATGTGAACAGTTACTTCCAATATAGCTTATGTATTCTGATACTCAGACCTCATTTTACAGAAAGAATGGGTTGTCTTTAAAAACTTTTTAGTAAGTGGCTTCAGAATCAAGTTTCTACCTTCCTGTAGAAATAGTATTATAGTGACTTGGTTCCAGTCCAGCCTAAAAGGTCCAGTTTAATTAACGACATATAGTCATGTTATTGTTTCAGTTATATCTAATTAGCATTAAGATATTCCTTCTACGGTACAAAACATTCCAAGTTTCATCTTGGGATACCATTTCCTCTCATTCAGCTCAACATTTACTGAGTGCCTGTGCTGTTCAGGTTCTCTGGGTTTTGGAAAGCTGAGATAGCCCTGGAAAACAGTTTGTCCGGGCCAGTCCGAGATGCGCATAGCTAATGTACCCGCAGGGTGGGCTGCCTGTGGTCAGAAAGTGCTGGAGCAGAAGTGCAAGCAGAAAAATGAACAGATAGCAGTCTTCAGGGAGACCAGAAAGGCAGGAATATGGGAGTGCTAGGTAAAGACCCAGAGGTGACTTGGTACAGGGTAAGAATGGTGGTCATTTGGTTCAGGGGCAGATGAGGGCCTTTACCAGGACAGTGGCAGTGGGAGTAGAGAGTATGAGACACGTAAGAGGGTTATTCTAGACCTAGTTGGGCAAGATTTGGTGAATACTCAGTGGGAGAGAAGACAGTTCAAGAAGGCTTTCAGAATGTCAGCCCTGCTCTCTTTGCAGACATGAATCCATTAACTTGAGATGAGGAGCAACTGAAGGAGGATGAGATTTGGGATAAAGATGTTGCGTTTGGTTTTGGACATAATTGTTTAAAGTGCTTGGATGAGCATCTGTGCATCTACCCATCCCCTCCGTCCAGCATTTACTGGGCACCCATCATGCTCCCAGTCCTCTGAGGTGTGGGAATTCAGAAGGACACTTGTAGGCTGTTGGCAGTGGATCTGTATGTGGCTGACAAAATGATCCAGCACATAAAATGCTGTCGAATAGTTAAGAAAATGTGCTATGACTGGCACTCAGTTGAAATGGCGGGTGTAGAGTTTAGAGTAAAATTAGAGCCAGAGGAGAAGATTGGGGAGTTATGTGCAACGAGGGGGTCAAGAAAACCAGGAAATCTGAGTGATGGGTCCTCAGCTCCATCATGGGAGAAGGGCTCATCCCAGAGTGAGGGGGACCTGGCAGGAAGCGCCTCAGGCCCCCGCGTGGTGGCCTGCACTTCAGGTGGGAGAAAAGGCACCTTGCCAGCTGGTCTTTCTCCAGGTGTTAGGAAGAGGAGAGTGAAACATGTAAATGGGATGGAGCAGCTAGTCCTTGGGGTTCAGGCCTGGGGAGAGGCTTTTTTCTTTTGCTACCAGGTAATTTTTCTCTAGGGAATCTCTGTCAGGTTCCTTAATGAGGGCCACAGAAGGACTTCCTTTCCATATGTAAACATAGCTTAATACGGAGCAGAGATGGATGCAAAAGGTCTTGTTTACTCTATTAACATTTATTAAAATTTCTAAGTATTCAAACTCAGCCTTTTTAAAAAATGTTAAAAATGTTCAAGTTTAATACAACTCAATTGGTTATTTCTTATTATAAGAACATTTTCATTTGAAAAATTTCAGACAGCAACTAGTAACGTCCTCTCTGGATATCACGTGGAAGACTTGGAAGGGGGTAAGTACCAAATTCTGTGTTAGTTCTGGTAGCTGGAATTCCAGACATTGTGTTTTATTGATTATTGGGAGTACATTTACAGAGTTACGGTACATGTCAGTGGAGGTATGAGGAGAGAATATAAAAATTTAATTCTAAGAAGTAGGTGTGGATGAAGCCGTTATTTTACTGTCCCCATTTTGTAGAAGAATGGAGTAATGGAGGGTTGGAGGTGTTATTTTCTTGCCTCCGCGTAGCTCTAGATGTAAACCTCATTGTTAGCAGTGTCGAGTTGCTACATTCTGTACTGTCGAGGGAAGCCTTCCTTCTCTCTCTGTCCCAGGCTGGCCCCGTTCTTACTTTTTGGGAAGTCCCGGCCGATAAGCTGAGTTGTTCCTGCCACAGTTAAAATCTATGACCTCCTCTTCTCTTGCCAGACAAAAAGGGAAGGGGATCAACTGTCACTGAGTGCTTGCTGGGTACTGTGTCCTTAGTGGCTTTCACAAAAACATGTACTGGCTTCTCCATCTTTCTGAGGGGTGATGAGACTGGTATTTGTTATAGTTCAGTAATTTTCCCAGTCACACAGCTGGAAAGGGGTGGAAATACAGCTTTACTCAGCCTGGCTGAATATCTTTTTTTCTTTTTCTTTTTCTTTTTTTTTTTTTTTTGGTGGGGGCATAGGCACGTGATTTGTGAGGGAATAGAAAATGGCTGTAAGGTCTTTAAAAATTAGTTGCTGCTCAACCTCTACTGCTCTAGCCTTTTCTCTCTTACGCCTTATTTCTTTGGTTTATTTGGAATCTTTTACCTAAACGAATCAAAGCTCATTGTATTCAGAAGTAAACAAATGTTATCTTTTAGCTCCTACCTCAGAATTCAGCATTTTGAACTTGATTTCACTTGTAAAAAAGACTGACTTTATATAATTACATGTGTCAGACAAACCCTAAAGAACATGGGTAGTAATGTGTAACTTTTTACTCAACATGCAGTATTGAACTTGTTCTACAAAATTTCCTTCCAGGATGCACTGATTTTCTCATTCCTGAAATAATTCCTGATAGAGACACATCTCATACTTAAGAAATGACAAGCATGCCAACGTTTCCCCTGTCAGTTGTTAGGGCAGAGACTGCACTGGAAACATGTCCACCAGTGGCTAGGGCAGAGTCAGGGTCATCGGCTTGATTTAGCTGTTGGGTAACTACTTCAGTGATTTCTAAGTTTCATATGGTTAATTGAATTTAACTCATTTGATTGGTAGAAGCAAGTATGTCATGTCCTTTTTACATCATCTAGGATGATGTGTGTGGAGGGTTTATAGTATTTCTTACACATTAAAATATCAGAAATATTAGCAAGCCTCAAATGATAAGACTATATCCTGATTACTCTCTAGGATCTTGTAATGGTTGGCATTTCCGCCCACCACCTAGGGGAATCACAAGCAGCGAGGAATATACTTTGTGTAAAAGGTAACGTGAATTTTTTTTTTAAACCAATGCCATGTCTTTATTCAAAGGATAAATAATTTTCCTTCACTTTTTGAAAAGTAGTAGTAATTCCAATTTAAAGAAGATAATATGTGAAGGAAGAAGTATAATGATTGAGTAAAATGGTTTATCTTCAACTGGAGACAGAAGCCATAATGGTCATTATCATTAAACAATAAAAGTCAAAGCGAGATCATTGAGCCTTCTATTAATTACAAACAACAGTGATCTAAATGGGGATTGCTAAGCCTTTGTGTAAGTCTTTGATAAAACCAGTTGGGTTATTAGGACTGAATTTAGTTCTGCTCTCTTATTTATGTGAAATTTGCCTAACTTTTGGTGATTGAAATTGAAATTATATAAACTAAAGTAGAGCATCAAATAGATGAAGAAATGTTAAATTAATAACTTTTCTAAAAAAAGAAAATCTATTATCTTTATGTTATCCTTCTGTATAATTTACGAGTAATTTCTGTTTGAAGGGCTAACCTTTAAAAATCATTATTAAGCTGGAAAGAATTATCGAAGTCACATTTCAAAAGGTTATTTTTATAAGAACTAGTAACTAGTGATATTTTAGAAATAAAGTCTCATTACTATAGATTATTTTTGGTAATGAAGAAAACTGGATATGTAGTTTTGATGATTGAATAATTAAGATATCAGATATGATTTTATAGTAGAAATAAAGAAATGAAGTAGTAAATTTCAAAAATTCCTGGTGGCATCGTGTTGTAGTAGAGGAAGAACACAGTCCTCCGCAGAGGAAATGGGAGAAAATTTATAGGCCAAATGAGAATATCAGACCTTTAATATATTTAAAGAAATAATTTAAAAGCAATAGAAAGACAAAGAAATATTTGGCTTGTTAAGACCTACTTAAGAGGAACAAATGCATGATTTTAAATGTGTCTTACAAAGCATAAGAACTTAATAGTATAATTTAAGTTCAAGAATTTTGTGAATCATCCAGAAAAGCTTTAAGTATAGTCATCTTTTCAAATAGGGTGAACCGTTTGATAATTTACATTGTGCCATGGTTCGTTTTGTATTTCTTACTGTCTGTATTTTTTCAGTTGAAAAATAATCCATAATATAACCCCTCTCATCTCTATTTTGCTATTTATAGTTTAACTTTCATTTTTTCCTCTCAGAAGATCTTTTTTTAATTTTTTGATGTTTCAATTCTTTAAAAATTGGCTAGACCCATAATTTTGCACGATATTTAAAACTTAAAAAAACAACAACTAATAATCAAAGTTTTGCATTTTTATCTGTTTTGACCACTCGATTGTCAGTTGAATTTTCTGAGTTGTAAACAGTGAGTGGGAAACCATTCACTCTCTGTCCTTTAAAATGAACATTTATGAATTTACCACTGAAGAATTTAATCTGACTATTGAATTAATTGTGATTCTAATATAAGACTTTTATTCTTATTCAAAACTTCAAGCAAATGAATAGCGTCCAGTATTTTCAATGAAATGTAGGGTTCTAGTAGTACAGAAAAGAGTAAAGGCATTACATTTGAAGGTGAGGAGTAGAACCCTTACGATTATAATTTAGTGATACATTGACATTTTTTTCAGAATGAAATTCCTAGTATGTGGAGAATTTTCTTTAGGTCATATCATTTTGGGAAGTAGGGCATACCTGTGTTTGATGCTCCAATCCACTTGATGTCAGTGTTGCTTTAGGAAAATTCTGCTCTAAAAAGAATTGTCTAAATAGAGGTGTATCATCATTAAGGAAACTGCCTTTTCAGTGTTGGTTTTGTGGGTGCGGGGTGGTTATGATGGGTTCTGTGTTGCTTTAGCATCCCCTCACTCCAAAACAGGGGCCACTGAGTTTGGAAAGTTGCTGTAGTGATTAACTGTTATAAATGTTCTGGAAGCCTCTTCTCCCTCCTCTGTGCAAGTCAGTTTGATGACTATGGCCTTTCAGGAGATGAAGTTTTGTTTTTGTTACTGAAGAGTCAAAGGGCAAATGCTGGAAGTTTATCTTTTAAATGGTCCAACAAAGTATATGATAAAACAGTCTTTCCTATTCTACTTAGATTTTTAGAGCAAGGAATCTGTAGGTACGGGGCCCAGTGTACCTCGGCACACTCCCAGGAGGAACTAGCAGAGTGGCAGAAAAGATACGCTTCACGGCTGATAAAACTGAAACAGCAAAATGAGAATAAACAGCTCTCAGGCAGTTACATGGAGACCTTAATAGAAAAGTGGATGAATTCATTATCTCCTGAGAAAGTGGTGAGGAAAATAAACCTCATTGTTCTGTTTGTTTGTTTTAAACAATGACCTTATTTGAGTCTTGACTTTATTTTTTGCTGTATTTTGGTTTATTTCCTTATCCTCTGTATGTGAAGAACTTGATTCTTGATAAGTGGTTTTGTAGCAAAATTAGACCCTTTTGCTAAAATAAAGAGCAGAACTAAGTCATTTGTTTGGAGATTTGCAGGTATTATAGTAACCTTCATTCAGGGAGTGTTTACTGCCTTCTTGTGGTCATTGATTTTTTTTGGTCTTCTCTAAGCTTTATTATATTTTGTTTATGTAAAATTAATGTCTAAAATGTCCTACTTTTTAAACCGTTGCATCTGCATCTTTACTATTGATACTTATTTACCATGCCAGAAGTTTTGTTTGTGCTTTTAGGGATAAAAATGTAACACCAGTTGCTCTCTGTTTTCAGCTTAGTGAATGTATAGAAGGAGTGAAAGTAGAGCATAGTCCTGACCTGTCGGTTACTGTCAACACCAAGAAGTCTCACCAGACATGGACCTTTGCTCTTACTTGTAAGGTACGAATTTTGTGTTAATTGAAGAATGTAATTTTTTTCAATTTTCTTAACACTTTCCTTGACCTTTAAAGCTCTCTTAAGAGTATTGAAAATGTTTTCATCTAAGTACATCTCAAGTTGGTTATGTATTGTGTTAAAGTGTATTTCTGTATTTTGTTCATTAAAGGTATAATTTTTTTAGATTTTGAGATAAAAGTCTTTGTAGATATTTAGATGTTCGGCTAATTTATTAATTTCATCAAGAGGCCTTTGATACTCTGTCTTCTAAAGTTGGAACATAGAATGCGGTTCACGGCTCATAATTAACTATTTAAAAATTGAATTGTTTAATCTGGCAATTCTAAGATATTTAAACAATAACAACTTGTTTTTATATTTGATTTGATGAAATCATGGGTTCTGTAATAATGAGTTTTTAATATGAGACGTTTTCTTCAGTGCTTCCCATCTTGAATATAATACTCAAAGTTTTAGAATACAGCAAAGTCAGACTTTTCTGTGAATATGTGCAGTGGAAAAGTTTGGTATACTTTTTGGTGGCATTTCTTGGGATGAAAAATCTGGGAATGTTCAACTTCAGCCTTGAACCCAATCCATTGCCTTCAGAGGTAACCGCCCTCCCGTGAAGACTTCCTACTTGAAGCTAGATAAAACGTTGTTAGGCCAAAGGTAGTGGGAACGTGGAGGCCGGTGGTCACACAGGGCAATAGCTGTCACCACAGAGAAAGAGGAACGTGTTGTGGAAAGAGCAGGGTGGCTGGAGATGTAGGATAAATATGTCGTTTTTAAAAAATTTCAGCTTTGCTGAGGTATCGTTGACATCATAAATATATAATTTTCACAACTGATTTTTTTTTTAACCATTCTGATATTTTCTTAAATGACTTGTGAGCACATTGTATTTTTAACATGGTCTCTTAGAAGCATGGGAAAGTATAAGTCCCTGATGGGAATATTTTCCTTGAAGAACCCAATGGCAGTTAGACTTTTCACTTTCTTGTACTCAATGAATTCCTTTACCTTCCTTGCAGCCTGCAAGAATGCTGTGTCGGGTAGCGCTGCTCTATGATGCGCATCGTCCTCATTTTAGTATCGTTGCAATATCTGCCGGAGATAGTACCACCCAGGTGTCGCAGGAAGTCCCGGAGAACTGTCAAGAATGGATAGGAGGAAAGATGGCCCAAAATGGATTAGATCATTACGTGTATAAAGTCGGGATAGCATTTAACACAGAAATCTTTGGAACTTTTCGCCAAACCATAGTTTTTGACTTTGGATTGGAACCAGTACTCATGCAAAGAGTAATGATTGATGCAGCTTCTACAGAAGGTAATATTTAGCCCCTGATATGATGCTATAATGGCAGCATTAAAAGAGATGTATTAGCCCCTAAATATTTCATGGATAGAGAGGGAATGATAAAGCAAAAAAAAAAAAAAAAAAAAAAAATCCAAAGCAGTTGACTCATTTACTGTGTGATGAGATTCGAATGGTTCATATTATGCCCTGTTCTCTTTATGGGGTCGTCAGACAAACTTGCTTTGAGCTTCTCCAAGCTTGTCTGAGTAAAGATCAGGACTCTTGTGGTCTCCTAGCTCGGTTTTTAAAGTAAGGTGGTTTTAGACAGTAACACCTTTCAGAGTTAGTTTGGGTAGACTGCTATTTTAAGGGTAATTGTGAGTACACCTTCAGGGCTATTTCCATGTCTGACTGAAGAGTTAACTTTGCTGACATCAGGACATTATCTTTGAACGGAAAGTCCGAAAAACAAGCTTTCATAAGTTGGTTTTGTACATTCACTAGTGTAAAGGAGACCAGGGTGCCTTTAATAGGGTCTGCTCTGTGCTCCTGGGAAGAGGTCCCTGGTTCCAGCATGTGAGCGCCTGCAGAAGATGGTAGTTAACCGTGCGCGTTGCTACGTTACCGCCTGTTGCTAAATTTTATGTTGTGAAGCAGCACAGGGAAAGGACATGTTCCCCTGTGTTTTCTTGGTTCTTGGTTGGATTTATAGGTGCTTTATTTTATTTAGTGAACACTAAGTATTTATTTAACAAGCACTTCATGTGGAACTTCTATTGTATTGACTGTAAGCGACTGTGTTGTGGAGGACGCTTTTCACACTGTACTGCAGTGTCCCATCTGTGAGACCTAGAAGTTTTGTTCATGAGCAAATGCTAGGATTTCATTTTTGGGCTGCAGTGACAGGTGGACTTGTTCTGTCTCCTCTTTATCTGCTGGTAAGGATAAAGCAACGTCTGGGCCCAGATTGAACAAATACGCTGTTACCTTCTTAGGTATGTGCCAGTGTCACCCACACTTACTTACACCTCACTTAAAGCTTATTTCTCACTTACTTTGATCCCTTTTACCTGTTTTTATTCTTTTGTGTTCTGTTTTTTGGTCTTCTCAGCACTCTTGGGAATTAGAATATGTTAAATCCTATAGCCAAATAGATACAGTTGACAGGGTCAGAATATATTTGCCGCTATAAGAGTTCTTTGGCAGTTTTTTCCTGCAAAGAGCCAGAGAGTGAATCCTTTAGGTGTCGCTGGGCCGATGGTGTCTGCTGTGACCACGCTGCCCTGCGCCGTAGTGATAAAGCCGCCACAGACCATATGGAAGTGAGAGGGCAGGACTGTGTTCCAGTGACGCTCCATTCTCCAAAGCTGTGGGCTGGAAGCAGCCTGCGTGCTGCGGTTTGCCCACCCCTGTGCTAGCAAGTTGCTTTTAGAGACTAGAATTTGAGAACTACTAGGAAACACCTTTTTTTAAATCATGAAGAGAGACCAGTATGTATTTCCCACTCTCAAGTATACCTCTAATAGAATGTTCCGGGCTTCGTGTGTGTGTGTGTGTGTGTGTGTGTGTGTGTGTATGTACGTGTACACGTACACGTATATATTATATTTTTAAGTCTGTCTGTCTGTCTTTCCTTTTCTTTCTTCCTTCCTTCCTTCCTTCCTTCCTTCCTTCCTTCCTTCCTTCCTTCCTTCCTTCCTTCCGAGAGAGACTGTGCATGGGGGGAGGGGAAAGGGAGAGGGAGAGGATCCCTGGCAGAGGCCCCAGGCCCAGTGCAGAGCCCGATGGCAGGGCTCGATCTGAGCGGAAATCAAGAGTCAGATGCTTAACCAACTGAACCACCCAGACACACCCCCCCACCCCCCTGTCCCTGCCGTGGGTTATATTTTAAAAGTTTGCTTTTAGAGTGGTGGTTTGTAACTCACAACTCATGTCCCCATAGAAACAAGTTTTTAGAAACCAAAAAAGTAAGTTTGTAAGGGTTGTCAAAAATCTGTGCTAGTTAACGAAAGCCTACTTAATTAATAATATAAAATATTACATGTCTGCATTGAGAAGAGAACATGATACTAACTGAGACTGATGTGGGAAGGAGGTGGTGATGAGGGCTGTAGGGCCCCCTCACACGGCCTTGAGAGATGGAGGGCACTTGGCTACTTTTGCCTCAGGTATGTGTTCCTTTTCTAGTGGGAGAAAAAGAGCCGTGAACAGACTTCACACTCAAAATAGAATTGGATTTGAGTCTTGATTCTCTCATTACTTGTGTGACATTTCTGAACTTGGTGTGGAAACATCTGTAAAATGGGGCTAGTAATATCTCATTTAGAGGATTATTGTGGCAACGGAAATAAGTCTTGTGTGGTTGCTGGCACATAGTAAGCACTTAGTAAATGGTAGCTATTGTTTTTACATGAGCCATGATTAGAGTAATTTCTGACTTAAAAACAGAATAAAGAAAAGTAGGAAGAGGGAAGGAGAATTTGTTTTAAAAAGTGTAGACCAGGGGATCTAGGGTGCAAGAGGGGCTAAGAAGTTGAGATAAAGACCTGAGCCCCTTAGAGCCACAGCACCTGTGGATCTTGGCAAGAGAAGGCAAGAGAAGTTGGTGGAAGAGAAGTTGTCCAAGATGACTGATATTTTAAGTGTGGTGAATGGAAGAAATAGAATTTCCTTCCTTATTCCTTCCTCCCTGCCTCCCCTCTTTCTCTCTTTCTTTCTTTCTTTCTTTCTTTCTTTCTTTCTTTCTTTCTTTCTCTCTCTCTCTCTCTCTCTCTCTCTCTCTCTTTCTTTCTCTCCTTCCTTCCTTCCTTCCTTCCTTCCTTCCTTCCTTCCTTCCTTCCTTCCTTCCTTCCTTCCTTCTTTCCTTCCTTCCTTCCTTCCACAAACTACCCCCGGTGTGGGGGGTTTGAACTCACAACCCCAAGATGAAGAGTCACATGCTCCACCAACGGAGCCAGCCAGGCAGGTGCCCCCAGAGTTTCATTTCTTAAGTTTCTAATATACCAGTTTGGAACTGTCATGAATTTTATATTCATTGAGATATAGTAGAACGAATTAACACAGTCAAGGCTGTCCTTCGATTTGAAACTAATATGCCTTCCCCTCTGTTATAATTTTTTTTATCTTTTTTTTTTGTGTGTGTGTGACCACTTTGCAGTTTGTTATCATTGCTTATTCTTCTTTAAGCTTTACCTCTAAGCTAGAAAACAATACAAATTAAGCATTTTCTTGAACTAATTTGGAAACATTAAAACAATTTCACATAGTGAAATTTTTCAGGGACAAGAAAAATAAATATTACAAGAGACCAATATAAAATGTATTTTCTGATAGGAGATTTTGAAACATTATATACAGAAAAACCTAAAGCTAGGTTTAGGCAAATCAGGTGACGTTTGGATGACTTCTTTCTTTCTGTCTTTCTGTCTTTCTTTCTTTCTTTTCTTTCTTTCTTTCTTTCTTTTCTCTTTCGTCCATTGGTGAATTTAGCTGACGTGTTATGCTGATTTTTATTTCCTTGGTGTTTTCCCTATGCTAAAAATTGATGTCATTTAATCATTCAGTATCTTGACGTTTTTAAGTTCTTACATTTGTATTGCATGCTGTGCTTGTTTCATTGTGACTGTGGACAGAATCTCAACAGAATTTTGGAGAAATGAAAGCAGGATGTAAACAGTATGTTTGTTTCCTGCTTCTATCTTAGTGCTAGTTAATGCTTTTGATTATTACAGCAGATGTTTGTCAGCAAAAAATAGAGGGCAAAAGATTTGTTGATGTGAAATCACAGTTTTATAAAACATTTGGAAATAATAAAAATATAAACTGTCAGTTTCTTACTTGTATCTCTTTCTGACATACTTGCGTGGATAACATTCAGAGACATTGAGAGCAAGAGAGCTTCTTTGTTAAATTGGTGACAGTATGACAGCCTGGCTGATTTTACCCCCAGCCCCAGCCAATTCACTATTTGATCTTCCTTATTCTAGAATTAGGAGAAAACTTTCCAGGTTTAAGTTGGCCAAATGCAGTTGAGAACTGAGGGATTAAAGTAGATCTGGGCTTTATCCTGTTTCCATATAGTTTGGATAACAATATGAATGATATAATTTGGTTTCTGCACACGCAAGGAAATGTAGTGATGGCATGAAAGTAGAATTTCAGTATGAAATATCTTTACCACTTCTTCCATTTGATTGGCTGTTTATTGTTTAAGCAAGTTTTTGTCCTTAAATTAATACTGGGAGCATGCATTTCTTTTCCATAAAATTACCGACCATGGTGGATTGTGTTCTGTGGAAATGAATAGGTGTTGTTTAAATGATAGGTAAAGAGTCCCATCTGAAAATATGTTTGGAAATGGTGCCTGCTTTATTTCCCTTAGAGATACACAATGCACTTCAGTAATTAAAGGCTCAGTGTCTGTCAAACAGATTTGATCCTGGAACTTAGTTATATTAGTGCTTTAGTCCTTGGAACTTCTTTTTCTTTTTTATGTTTTTATTTTAGTTCTGAGAGAGAGAGAGGGAGAGAGAGAGAGACAGCATGAGCAGGGGAGGGTCAGAGAGAGAGGGAAACACAGAATCCGAAAGAGGCTCCAGGTTATGAGCTGTCAGCACAGAGCCCGATGCCCGGCTCAAACCCACAACTGTCAGATCATGACCTGAGCCGAAGTCGGATGCTTAACCAACTGGGCCACCCAGGCACCTTGGAACTTAAAATCAAGTGACACAGCAGACTAAAAATTCTACTTTACTTAATTCAGTTTGAATTGGGGGGAAAATTCCCACATTTAAAAAAAATATTATTTTCATGATATGTAAAGCATTCAAACCTTTTCTATTTGCAGACCATGAGTGTATGTTTTTCCTCTAGTTGTTATATGGCAGTTCTGCAAACTGTTAGGAAATAGGTATAACTTTAATGTTGCTTTTTTCAGTTCTTATCGCCTATTGGTGAGATTCAGGTTCAGCAAGAGACACTGTTTGCACTAAGAAATTCTGGGTTAAAGATGTGCCTCTTCTTTCTCTCTC